AAGAAAAGAACCCCAGGTAGGAACATTTGCAGGTCTGTAAAGGTCAGTGTGTGGCAGCTCAGGCCTGTAGGGCAGGCTCGGGCCCTGCTCAGGCATTGCAGCACCAACACTATAAATAATCTGTGGTTTGTGCTTTTGGCCACAAAAGCATTGCTGGGTTCATCCCTCAGTGTGGGACACGGAGCCACAACCGAGAGAGCAAAACCCCGAGGTGCTGGTGCTTCGTGTTTAGCTGCTATAAATTCGATTTTCAGTCTTACTGTTGAACCACAGCTTCAGAGGTTCCCATAAAAGCTATTTTTCTTTGCAGCAATTCAAGTTGTACCTCACACCTTTCGATTTTGGTGCTTTCTTAGGGGCCACGATCTCTCTGCATCGAGGTGGCTCCTTATGGAAATTGAAAGTCTGAGAGATCCATCAAAGTGTGGTTGTTTTAGCACAGCAATTTGGGCTGGAAGATTTTATCAGGAGGTGGGAGCTGCAAGTTTAAAAGCTCTTCCCAGGGCAGGAGCAATAATGGGAAGGGATTTAGCATGGCTCTAACTTAAGTAGTGTACGTGCAGTTTATGTTCTGGACATAATTCAATATATTTCTGTTTAAAAGCAATATAACAGGGCAAGAAGAGTGCTGGGAGCTTGGTTTCACGTGGAATGAAAACTAGGGAAAATGATCTTTATCATCCTGCTGTATATGTTTCAGGAGGAGGAAGAAATTTGTGAATGCCCTGGACACATAAAAATTACATTAAATTAAAAAAATTCCAATACACTGTTTTTCTTCCCCGTGTGTTTTTTTTTTTTCATTTGGAATGAAGGGGTTTATGGATTTTAATTTTTTTTTCAAGCATAACATATAGAATATTGAGACAAATAGCCCTCAGATCTGGAACTAAATTACAGGGGATGTTTGAAAGCACCACTCTTTGTGGATGCACACGTTGGGTTTCTCCAACAGAAGCTGTAGGTGAAGCACGGGAATGCACATCTGATGTGCATCATGGAATCCTGGGGGGGTTAAGGTGGGAAAAGGCCTTTAAGATTTTCAATACAAAAATCACCCAGCACCATCTTCATCACCAGACCATGTCCTCAAGTGTCACATCCAGTCTTTTTTTGAACTCTTCCAGGCTGTTGTCACATCACAACACAGGATGCCCACCACGTCTCTGGGCAGCCTGTTCCAATGCTTGACAACCCTTTATGTGGAAATTTTTTTCCTAATATCCAACCTAAACTTCCCCTGGCACTACTTGAGGACATTTCTTCTCCTCCTGTCCCTGTTGCTGGGACCTCCCCAGCTGTCCCCTCCTGTCAGGGACTTGTGCAGAGCCAGAAGGTCCCTCCTGAGCCTCCTTTTCTCCAGGCTGAGCCTCCCCAGCTCCCTCAGCTGCTCCTGGTGCTCCAGCCCCTTCTGTATTTATATTATTTCTATATTTGTATGTTATGTATTTATACATTTGGTGGGAAATAGCTTTTAGCAAAGCTGTTCCCAACGTGCTCACACAGTTGCAAGTGATTCATACTTTATGAATACATTTGATTAATGAACTCCCAAATTTCACACTAAACCAGGGAATACGGATCTTCCAGCACTGTCTTGTCTGATATTAACCTGTTTCTTCTCCCTGGCATTAATGAGCCTGATGGAATTTTGCTCCCGGTCCCTTCTGTGTCCCTCCATGGAATATAACTATTAATATAAGTATTCCACAATGGCATAGTTGAGATTTAAGCAGTTGACTTGCCTTTCTCTCCTGGTATATTCATGGTATGGCATTCTAAAAAATTCAATTTACACTTCAGGTTAATGGGGAACCATTTAAAAACTCTTGTGTATTAATGTATTTCTTATCCTGTACAGCAAAGCAAAGATGATGTTTTTATTTTTCCCTCTAAGGGTGAGAGCTAAAGGCTCCTCTGAGGGCTCGGGACCTAAAATATGCTGTATAAAAGGCCTGTATTTCCACTTGTTCTTTCACCTCAGAAGTTGTTATTCCATGAGGGAATGCAGCTGTTATTCTGTTGGAGAATATTGCTGCTATTCTATGGAGGAATAACATTCAGTTTGGATGATCTATAGAGCAGTGTTATATTGCCAGATAAGAACAAGTCACCACAGTGTTTTCCAAGTTGCTGAGGTTTGGAAAACAAACTTTTTTCAGGAAAGACATTAAAATAATCCTTATTCTGACTGTAATCTGGAATTAATCCAGATTGCATCAACATTCAGTCGAGAACGAGGAGGCTGCAAGGCTCTGGGATCAGGAGGAACGTGCAGCATTTAGCCAGGAAACTGTTAATCCCTTTTTTCCCCTCATCCCAATAGACTTCTCTTTGTGCAGGAGGGCTGGAGGAGGAGGAATGGAGCTGCTCTCTCCAGCCTTCTCCAAACTGCTGGATCACCCTCCAGGTCCACAGGGACTCCCAGCTCCTACAGAGGAATGTATTGAATTTTGTTTCCTTCCAAATGTTGAGCCCTGGCCAGTAAAAGCTTTGGTGTCCCCAAGAATCCTTGGAATGCTGTTATGGAGTTTTGGCCGTTGAGCTGCTCAGCAGCCTCGAATCAATGAGTCAGTAAAGGGCAATCAAATGAACAGAAGATAATTTGTTTTAGAGAAATTATAACTCGTTTTCTGAAGTTGAACTATTATATTATGCCCCGCTTGCAGGGGACAGTGTGTTCTGTTCGGGTCTGTATGGATTAGACACGTATAAATTGAATTAATAGCACTTTTTTATAGCCCAACAGTCCTGCTAAAGAAACCCTGTGAGTAAAGCAAACAAAAATGTATTAAGTTGTCTCAAATCAAACACCAGACATTTCTCCAGCTACTTGTTGGCCCATTCCCAACGTGCTGGGCCTGGAGAGTCACCCGAAGCTTGCACAAGAAGGGATCCAAAGACCTTTCTCATTTATATCAGCACGAAAGAAAAATGCATGAAAGAGGGACATTATGGGCTGCGATTTCTGGAGGCATTTGGGTTTTAACATATCATGTGGTCTGGCACATTCATCCCCAAAAAGCTCATAAAAAAAGAGGAATCTCACTGTTCCCCACTCCTATATTTGAAATGTTTTCTTCTGAATTTCCTTGCTACAGAATAAGAAAAATTGATTCCTGGGCAGGGTTCTTCCCAAAGAAATCCTAATAAAGAGACCTTGTTTGTCTCTGTGAGCAGTTACTTAGTGTAGAAATACAGGGAATCTAACTAGAAAATCTGCTTAATATTGTTATTTGCTTAAATTCTTTATTAATTTTTATGAAAATTTATTATATGAGATGATATAAAACCATACTGCCTCCTGTTTGGTTTGTTCAGGTTCATCTTGCTGCTTCTCTAACATGTAATGTTAATTAGGTATATAGAAATTTTTATCTCATTGCCTTAAGGTGGTTTCTTAGAACATGAGTGATCCCATAGCAGAGAAATGCTCATAACCTAATTAATACAATTTAAAACTAATACCTAAATATAAGGTGATGCACTTGCATTTCTTGAATATTCGGCTTAAAAGCTTCTTGCTGTGTCTCTGCTCGCTGAAATACCTGGAAGAATCCTGTCTGTTAATACCAAAATTCGTGGTCTGGGGAGAGGTTGACTGGATTTTCATCTCCGGGAGGGATTTGGGGCTTCAGGGGAGGTTTGGATGCCTTTGATGTCTTCTGGAGGGTGGCTTGAGTGGGGATGCTGGGTGCAGGGAGGATTTTTGGGGTGAATAAGCAGGAAAAAAGTGAACAGCCTGAAAAGATGTGAATCCTCTGCAGGACTCCTGAGCTGCAGCTCTGGAATCATCCCTCCAGAATAACCTGTTTGCTCGGCAGGTCTCCCAGAACCTGCTTTAGTCAACTAAAGCAGGTTCATATGCAATAGTTAGAGTTTAAACAAATCCCTGTATTCAGATGGGGGAAAAATCACATTGTTATTCCATGGCAAATCTCTGTGGGTTCTTAAATCATTAAATCTGAGCAATTTGGGAAATAAATCAGCTCGGGAAGGGACCGGATCATGCACAGACGGGACATGTTCAATGCCCTTTCTCCAAGGTCTCATTTCGTTTGGCCTTTATATTCTGCTTTTAGTTGGGAAGTTAAATCCACAAAGGTCATTTGAAAAGCTTCAGATTATAGATGGAAAGCCCTTTTAATCGTTTCTAATAAATAGCTGAGCAGGGAATAAATCTATTGGGAGCTGAGCTCTGATGTTAAGCCTCAGCACAAAATGCCCATACATGAGCAATACTTGGAAATTATCTCTGAAATTATAATTACTTTAAATAAATTTGACTTAGAAGAAATTATTATGTGTGTGATTATGAAAACTGGTTTAATAAATGAAGCATTAATTGGAGCTGGTGGCTTGGCAGATTCTGTCACTGTGGTCCAGATGATTATGAAAGTGATTTAGGCACAAGTGAAAACGGCAGTTTCAGTTCAGAGATTTCTTTTAAATGGCAGAAATTACTCTCTCCAGCCAGTGCTTTGGTAAGGCAGGGCTGGAATAAAAGCTTTGCATAATAAAGACTTAAAAGCATTTTGATTTTGGAAAAGCAACAGCTGCAAATGGAAACAAGGGTGTCTGAAATGCTGAAAATACTCTGGGTGATGCCAGTGCTGTGTATGACATCGTCTAATGTCTGAGTAGCCTTCAAAGCATTTTCCCCCCTAATTCCACATATAATTAAAAAGCAGCTTCCTCTAGCTCATTAAAATGTAGAGTCCTGTTGGAGCAGTGTACTTGTATATTTATTTAAATGAATAAAGCACAGCTTTAATGCAGACCGTAATAACTTCAAACATTAAATCTCTTCTGTGCAGCTCACACTTTATTTTTAAAGTGTTTAACTTCCCTTCATGAATACCAGCTTGCAAAGGAACATGGTCCTCTCGTTGGATTATTTTGTGCACTACTCGACAAGTTTTCCCCATCTCCTTTTTTGGGATGTGGAATGATAGGAAAATCCCCCAAGTTGAGCTGTGAGTGACGCCCATGGAAATCAGAGGCGGTGGCTTTTCCAGCATAACGATGGCATCTCCCTCTTTTCACAGGCGTTTGGAAATGCAAAAACAGCCCATAACAACAACTCCAGTCGCTTTGGCAAATTCATCCAAGTGAATTACCAGGAGACAGGCACCGTGCGAGGGTAAGTGGGAACAGGGGGAGGGAGGGTGCTGGATGTACCCAAAGCTGAACAGGCTGCAGTAGGGTGTTAACTGCTTTGGCCAGTATCTTTCCCAAAATGGAGATAGGAAATAAAAATTCAAAGGTTTTAGCTTATTAAAATCTGTTGGTTTGGAAATATTGGTGCATCCAAGGTGGGTGCTGAGGTGTGGATACACCTGAGCTACCTTCAAGCCACCTGAGCTCTTCTTAATCCTGATGTCAAATTTTTAATGAAGCTGAAAAGCAACGTCTCCCCCTCAGACAGGAGTTAAGGCAGAAAAAGGGAATGTTTTAGTTGGGATGGGGTGGGGGCTGAGCAGTAGATGTGGAGTGAGGGGTTTGGCTCAGGCTCAGGAGCAAAGGGGAGGATTTAATCTCTGGCTGGGAGTTCTGGAGGCCATTGAGCCACACACACTCTTCTTGTTCTCTGCCTGCTTCCCCCCAGGCTCTCCCTGCAAGTCTCTCCTTAACTCATCCCTTGACCAGTGAAGGCCCCTTTTTCCTCCCAGGTCATTGTAAGGAGATCCTTGTCTCCACTGTGGTTCTCCTCAGTTTATTTCAGCTTTGGAAATTTCAGAGCAGACGAGAAGGAGGAGAAGAATTTTGAGGGGTGATTGATGAGAAACTCATGGACATGTGCACTGGAAACCCAGAAAACCCCCATGGCCTGGTCTGATCCATCAGCATGGCCAGCAGGAAAGGGGGGAATTCTGTCCCTCTGCCCCTCTCAGGTGAGACCTCACCTGCAGAGCTGCCTCAGCCCTGGGGTCCCAGCACAGGGAGGACGTGGAGCTGCTGGAAAGAGCCCAGAGGAGGCCACAGAGATGCTCCAAGGGCTGGAGCCCCTCTGCTCTGGAGCCAGGCTGGGAGAGCTGGGGGTGCTCACCTGGAGAAGAGAAGGATCCAGGGAAACCTCAGAGCCCCTGCCAGGGCCTAAAGGGGCTCCAGGAGAGCTGGAGAGGGACTTTGGAGGGAGAGGACAAGGAGGAATGATTTCCCACTGCCAGAGAGCAGGGTTAGATGGGAGAATGGGAAGGAATTCCTGGCTGTGAGGGTGGGGAGGCCCTGGCACAGGTTGTCCTGATGGCTGGCCCTGAATCCCTGGAAGAGTTGCAGGCCAGGCTGGATGGGCCTTGGAGCACCCTGGTCTAGTGGAAGGTGTCCCTGCCCATGGCAATGATGGAACCTAAACCCAGCTTTTTCTCTGGCTTTTAATAATTTCCATGGTGTCAGATCATCACCAAGGAGCTGCAAATGAACAGGGCTTCGTTTACTTCCCTTTTTGTCCAGTTTAACTGAGTCAGTTGGAAAAATAAGGAGTAGAAGCAGCATTTCAGGGGCTGTATAATTTCTGCACATGGCTAAGAGACCTCTTGCTGGCACTTTGTTGTTATTTTAGAAAATTGCTTTTAAAATTTTTTTCCTTTCTTATTTTCCAGCAGAACAGTATCACACAAAGAGCTGCTGTTAATTTTTCAGTGAGCTTAGGTACTCCACGTCCTTTCCCACTGGTTTTGCATCCTACATCAGATCTGATGCTCTTTTTTTTCCCCCTTATTTAATTCTGGTGCACAGTTCTCTTAAAATGATAAATTTGATTTTTTTAATACCTCCTGGGTAACAAGAATCCAACAAATGCCTTAACTATGTATTATCTTGGCATGATGTAGCAGCACTGTGGTTGTGGCCTCTATTTTTATTTGGCAGAGATGCACAAATAACATTATATTCATGTATTCTAGTTCATAAAATAGGAGGAATTTTCTCTGCTTTTTAAAAAATGAGCTTTCTTGCTCTTTGGTTGCACAGAGTGATGTGACTGTACTGTGCTATGAGCTTGCAGTGCTCCCCCAGTGAAAAGATGTTTAAAGCAAAATATAAGCAGTTTAAAAACAAAAAGTGTATGTGGCATACAAACTCATATTTTTTTTCCTGTGAAAGAAGATTTTTGTAAAAACTTAGCCTATACTTTTTTAGCACAACCCCAATCATCACCCTGTATTCTGCATATCAGTAGCTTTGGTAATGGAACTATAAATTGCAGTCCCAAATCAGAGTTTTCTTCTCTTCAGAGGTTGAAAATAGCAGTTGAATATTTGCTTACAACCCCTCTGAGTATAATCACCCAAAACTTGAAGAGATGGAACAGGCAGGAGGTTGAGCAGGACCCAACCCCACTCTGTAGGATGAAGTCCTGGATGGTCTCTCAGACTGATGGAACAGGAGCAGTGCTGCAGTTCAGGGCGTTGCTGAATTTTGGTCCATGATAAGCCAGACCTGGAGGTCTTTGCAACCTGCTCAGTCCCCATGAGATGGTCAGAAGCCTTGACACAATGCATGAAATGGCAGAGGAGCCAGGTGGGAGAGGCTTTAGAGCCAGCTAGGAGGGGTTTAAGTCAAAGGCCTGTGAAATACAGACTTTCTGTGCTTAAATCAGTGTTTTACACAAGATCACTCCCTTAGAGCTCCTTTTCTTTGCTCTTAAAGGTAGAACTGCCATTGTTGACAATGGTAGATAAAAAGAAATTTGAAGACATCAACTTATTAAGACATAAGCTGGTTTTCCTACTCACTATCCTGTTACAAGAAGGGACAGATGTTGTTCTTGGGACATGGGTTCATTGTGACCTTTGCACTAATAAAGGGAGCATTTTACCAAAATAGCATTGTAATTGCATCTATTATTAAATCTATTAAAATCTATCTATTAAATTAAATCTATTATTAAATATAAAATAAAATTTTAAAAATAGAAACTTTCTAAAATAAAATTTTAAAAGTGAAACTAAAATGTTAAAATAAACAAACAAATAAATAAATGAAATCCCCCTGATTTAAATAGTGGTTGACCTCCAGGTCAGATGACCTCCAGGAGACCTTTCCAATCTAATTTATTGCCTAAGAATGATTTTGGGGTGCTTTATAATAAGAGCAGAAATGACAGGGTGGGGATGAAGGGCATGGACATGTTGCAGGTTGCTGTACAGCAGTGTCTGAGCCATTGTCCAGTGGGATCTCATCAGTGGGTTCTGGGATGCTCTCATTCATGTGTTCCCTGACCCTGCAGTGAATTAATGGCTTGGGAAGGAAAAATTGGGTTCAGCTTAGAAATGGAACATAAAACCCACATCAACCTGTAGGTGAGGAGTATCCATAGGCTGTTCCAGCTTTCTCCCATGGAATAAACAGGAACACAGCTTTGCTGTCTGTCTTCCTTTACTCCTCCTGTCCAGCAACATCATCCTATGGGGAGTTGGATTTGCCATTTCCAGTAGCCTCTCTCAGGAGTTGCCGTAAGAATTTTCACAAAACCTCTGCAGCATGTCCAAATGATTTATATTTTAGTTTTTATGGAAGGAAGGGAGAAAGTTGTTTTGGAGCTAATAATTAGATCTGGCTTTCCCATCTATGGTGGAGGAGAAAGTGTGGAAGCACCTCCTTGTCCCACCATGCCTGAGGTTCGTTGGTTTCCTGATTCTTACAGCTCCAGCTGTCGGTGCCACGTCGCTGGGCATCGGTCACCAGAAAAGCACAGCTTCATCATCCCAGCTGTCACTTGGAACTCCAGCTTCTAAATCCCTGTCATTACTGGTTAGGTTTGTTTGGAAGAAAAAAAAAACCTGTGGAAGCTTTGTTTAACTTGACAAACCTGAAAAAAGTATTTAATATGTAGATTTAGCATGTTTGTTGTCGAGACTCTTAGGAGAAAATGTAAACTGCAATGAGGAGCTTTCGCAATTGTTTATTTTTTTTTTTTTTTGACTGGAGCCAGAAGTTAATAACCCAAATTTTTGGTGAGAAGTGGCTCTTCTGGAAGAAGGAATGGGGATTTGGGGACTGATTCTGCAGCGAAATGGCATCTTGCACACTTCTGCATGCAGACATATTTCCACGTGCATGGCTCCTGAGCTGCAGGCAATGGGATTTTGCTGGCTTTGGATGAAATAGGGATCTGAGCTCCTTCCTTGCAGACAGCATTTCTCTTGCCCATAGGCTGACGCATCTGAGATCATGTTTTTCACATCCAAGTTAGTTTTGGCTTAGTATCAAACCAAAAAAACCTCAAAAGCCAAGCATAATATTGGGCTTGTTCTGCCGAGGAAGAAATTTATATAACTAAATGAAACAAGGCTGAAACTTCTTTGTGTTGGTACCAAGGCTGAAGTCCCTGGTAAAGCTGTGTTCATTGAAGCTCAATATCAGGTCAATTAATGATGCTTTGATTTTTCCCCTGCAGAGCTTATGTTGAAAAATACCTCCTGGAGAAGTCCCGACTGGTCTATCAGGAGCACAACGAGCGGTGGGTGCCTCTGTTTAGCCCAAGGCTTGGCTTTAACTCCTAGATGTGGCACAGATAACTTAAATCCCTCTTGGAGCTGGCACAGGGCATCAGGATTTTCATGCTCTTAACCCTGGGCTGCAAAGATTAATGATGCATTTTATATTTGAATGTTTTGTTGTTTAGGGGAGAAATGTGCTAATGGAGGGAATAAACTTCATTATTTTATCAACAATCTTTGAGTTACCATGGAACCTTAGAATGGGTTGAATTGAAGGACCCTTGAAGATCCTCTTGTTCCAACCCCTGCCATGAGCAGGGGACCTTCCACTACATTTAATTTAATTTTCATTGTCTTTATGGCAGATAGATTATTATGTACCACTTCATTCCTGTGCAACTTGTGAACTGCTTAATATGTCATTTTAGGGGAGAAACATGGTATTTTCATTCTTCTTTGCAGTTCACTGAAGCCTTCAGAAGAGTCTCTAGAAAGGCAAAATTATATAGAGAATGAACTTATGTGAAGTATTTTCTCCTAATTTGGTGCATATTCTTTGTTGAATATTCCTCTCTCTGTAATTATTATTCCACTTTTAAGTAATTTTGACGCCTTTAGTTGTCTTTCAACTCTTGGCACTTCTGACTGTGTTTCCCTTTGGAGACAGATGTGTGAGTTTTCTGGAATGCTCCAGGGCTACTCCTGGAGTGAAAGAGCATCTACAGCCTTGACAGATGTCCTCTTGGGTGTTGCAAGATGATTAAACTTGGATCCTCTTGGAAAACATCCAACATAAAAGCACAGTTTTAATTTTAGAAAGAAATGGTGTTAATCTGTGCTAGAGTTGTCTGGAAGCAGAACAGATGAGTCCCTAGGGGTGGGTTTAGCATTACTGTTATTCAGGTATTTTGAAAATTTGAGTTTTTGAATTCATGAAGATTTTTTTGTCGTGTCTCATGGAACTGCAACTGCAAAGTTGTTGCCTTTTTAATGGTAACAAGGTATAAAAAATTATAATTTCTGCATTGCAAGGAAATATGTTGTGGTAAAGGAGGTTGGGCTCTAATAAAGGAGCCAGGGAGGGTCGGGCTCTGCTCTCAGGGGACAGGGACAGGACAAGGGGAAACAGCTTCAAGCTGTGCCAGGAAAGGGTCAGGTTGGACACTGGAGGAATTTCTTCTGGGACAACGTGGCCAGGCATTGGAAGGGGCTGCCCAGGGATGTTTGGAGTCCCCATCCCTGGAGGTGTCCAAGGAATTCCTGAATGTGCTACTCAGTGCTCTGGGCTGGGAACGAGGTGGGGTTTTGGCACAGGTTCGACTTGATGGTCTGGGAGGTCTTTTCTTGCCTAAATGATTATGAGATTCAGTGAAGTATGTAGGCATTGCACATGGTTCTGAAGGAAAACCCGATCATCCCAGCTAGAAATTCTTCAAGTAGATTCTGGGGCAGTGGCTGTCCTTGGATGGAGAAGAGGGATTTCATTCTCCATGACATAATTGAAATATCTGTTCCATCCCTGCACAGCAGGTACAGGCCAGCTCTAAAGAGTGTCAGACCTGAGCTTGAGAGCTGGAAAATCAGGTTGGGAGCTTTCCAAGTGCCTCTGCTCAGTGCTGCTGCTCATTTTTGAGTCTAACAGCTTTTGTTTTTCATTTGTCACCAGGAACTACCATGTATTTTATTACCTCCTGGCAGGAGCAAGTGAGGAGGAGAGATCAGCATTTCACCTGAAGCAGCCAGAGGAATATCATTACCTTAACCAGGTGGGAGTACTATACAGGAACACAATCTGTGGTCTTGCCTTTTCTTCTGCTGATATTTAATGCTAATAAAGAAGAGATGTGGAGTAGTAAAAGTGGGTTTTTTTTAAGGTGTGGAGCAGTAAAAGTTGGTTTGAATGGTTTATAGGAAGTCTTCCATCAGAATAATTCTGCATTAGCAATCTGAACACCTGTTAGTGTTTCAGGGAAAAAATAATCAGTGTTTTCTGTACCTGGGATATGTTAAATATATTGAGTTTTTGATTGCTGGAGGGAGAAACAGTCAGAATTTCCTGCTCTCTGCGTGAATGTCATTTACTCATTAATATCTGTCTCCTGAGCAGGAGAAAAGGGATAAATGTGGCATACTGGGATATAACATCTTGCATGAGGAAGTCCTAATTCTGTAGCTTCTGGCTGGCTTTTAGCACAACCCTTTGACTTTAACAATAGAACAAGTCTAATATAACTAAAACCACAGCAGCCATTGAAAATCTGGGAATTAGTGATGGAGAGGTGTTACCAACAGCCAAATAAACTTGGTTTACATGATGATAATTTTATAATAAACTGATTTACTTCAGGTATTTAGGCAGTTATTCAGTGACTCTTGCAAGAAGGGACTTCAAAAAGACCAAAAAGAGGAGGAATATGTGGAAAAGGAGTTAAGTTACATGTTGATTTTAACTAATTGCAATTTTCTTGGTGCTGAAACATGAGGAGCAATAAAGGGTGATATAACCCCTAAAGTGTAGAGAAACTTGGACTCACAGTCCAACCCAAATAGCCTTTAGTCTTGTCAAAAATATAACTTCACTAAGGAATAGCTCTCAATTACCAGGGACTTTTAAAAGATTTTTTAAAGCAGGCAATCAACACCCAAATAAATCCACTGTATATTAACGACTCCCACACACCCATCACAGGACTGGGAGCTGCTCCCACGTGAGGAACACTCCAAGGACTGGAGGCTCTGTGCCTCAGGTGCTGGTTGGAGAACGTGCTGTGATCTCCAGCACCATCTGTGCCACACTTCTGCAGGGGGAAGATGCCAAGATGGAATTTTTTGTCGGATTCCCAGGTTTTGTTGGGCCATCCAGTCACTTTCTGTTAGTTGAAAACATTGCTTTTAATGTACAGTCCTTTTCTTTTACAGAGCAGTTTAAGAGCATTTGTATTTAAAGGAAAATTAGAAATCTAATGGCACATAGTATGAGGAACCAATAGGAATATTATGATTTAGGATGAAGTGTTTATTTTATTCTAATTAAGGTGCTGTGGGGCAAGTAAGCAGGAGAAGGCTGCTAAGATCAGTCCAGTGAATCAGGGAAGCAGACTCTGGACTTCCCTGAACACAGTGTATGGACAGTAGGGACACTCTGAGTTTTTGGTAGGTTTTAAAGTAATTTTTTAATAATTAGGATTAGAGTTTTAACACTGACAGCTATGGAAAAACAGTGCCTTTAGATGTGGTCTGGGCATGGTTTCACATGAAAACCATCTGACAGTGCAGTAGCAGCTCTTCCCTGCCCTGCAGGAGAAAGGAAGAGAAAAATAAGGAGAAAAAGGAAAAGAGATGGTAGAGAAATGGAACAAGAAACTTGGGAAATATTTAAGAGAAAGCATATAAAATGACCCTTGAATATTTGCAGTCTCTTAAGTGTGTCCTGGAGAAGACTCTGCCTTTTTAAAAGGAAAAAGAACCAGCTCAGACATGAACTGCTTTACTGAAAATTAAATATTCATATAGAGAAGCCATAAAATATTGAACCAGGCCCCTGAAGTGAAGGAGTGACTCAGTCCTGAATTAGGCTTTACTTTCCTCCTCCCAGGTTCCTCAGCTCTTCTGTTATGCAAAAGAAATGGGGAGTTTGCTTTGCAGATGAGAAATAATCTATTCAGATATTTTCCCAAAATCTGCCCTGTAAATTCAGGGAGCAGATTGAAAATAAAGATTTCAATTTATTTTTAAATGCAAATTTACTCCAAGTATCCCCTGTGTATGGGGGACTTTTCCATCTTTCCCCCAGTGGCAGGTGCACCCAGTGCTGCACACCCTGCAGCTCACGGAATGTTTTCTGTACCTTTTGTTAACTTTCATCCATGTTGAAATCATTTACAGGTTTAGATCGTTATTTTCAGCTCCTCAGGAACTCCAGTGCAGTCTCTCTCCCTCTTGGGATTGGGAACTGACACATGCTTTGACTTCTCTCAACTCCATCTCTGTCTGATTGGAAAAAGACATAATTTCCTAAAAAGCTTTGGAGTGTTGCTTGGAGAATCTCACTTTGCTGTACTTGTGTTTGTCTGGAGCAGAGGTCGAGAGCAGAAACAAACCAAATCTGTTCTTCAGTGGGATTTTGGCATCAGTGGCTCTTCAGCTCCAGATAAACCAAGGGTTTCCCCAGCTCTGTAAGAGAAGAAAAGGTTTTAGTAGCCTTTAGGATTATTGCTGAGAGGGCCTCGCTGATGCACTGTGAGCAGGAACCAGCACCAGGAATGCAAAAGCATCATAAATCTTCCCTTAAAACAAATAAAACTGGGGAATGACTCTGCAGAATAACAACAATTATTTTCCTGGTGAGGGAGCAGGTCATCGAGGTGATTTGGGGTGGGAACACCACTTAACCCGCTCTGCCTTGCTTTCAGATGACAAAGAAACCCCTCAGACAGAGCTGGGATGATTATTGCTATGACTCGGAGCCGGTCAGTACAAGAACCTGCCTCTTCCGTGTTGCTGCTGCAGGGCTGCTCTCACTTGAGTGTTTTAGGGACACAAAGAAAGCCAAATCCAATGAAGTTTAACCCATTAACCACCCTTTGCCCTGCAGTGGTGTTGCTTGTGACAGTAAAGATTTTTTTCCCTTGCCCTTTTATGGTTCCTTCCATCTGGAAAGCTTCTTCAGCAGTTGGAGATGGTGCTCTCTACAGTCATCTGTTTTAGAAAACTAAGGGGGGTTTCATTCCTTCCTGATGGAATACGTGATGATTAATGGAAATTGTGATGTGGCAGCAATGTGAAAATTGAAATTCCATTCCAATAAAACAGCAAATCAGTGTCTTGAAGCCCCAAGAGATGCATCAGTTCATGCTGGTTGTAGTGGTGTATCTGCTCTCCAGCTTCCAGGAAAAAACAGACAAATATCCCTCCAGCCATCTGTGAGAAAATCAAATCCTGATATTGTTCAGAGTGCAAAACCAATTCCTTCCCCTAAAATATTTCTGCTGACATGATCATCCTTTCCAAATGGATCGCCCCACAAAAGGGAATGGTGAAGCTTCTCCCCCCTCCCTGCTCCTCCCACGCCACCTGTGGGTGTCTGGGTGTCTCATGGTGCTCCCCGTGGGTGTGTCCTGCATGTGGGAGCATGTTTGGCATCAGCTGCTTGTCCTTCCTGCTAGTTCTCCCATGTGCTTGATGATTGCCAAAGTCTTGCTGATTCATCTGGAAGAGTAAGAGGTGATCTGGGAAGGAGCTGGGATTCACTCAGGCTAAACAAGTGTCTTAACAGCAACATTTCCCTGCCAATCCTTAGGAGGGGAGGAGGGAATTGCCCTCACAAGGTTAAAAATACTGAATATTGGATTGCATCCTTCATCCATCAGCATCCTTAGGGGTCATGCAGGAGCAGGGAGTGATGAGCAGGTGCTGTTCTAGACCTTAATACCCTTTAGAAGTTGGAAAGCCCTTAATTGCTTTAGGAATGGGTTGGGACAATTTGCTGAAGGAATTAAAATAAAAACAACGCCAAAATTTAGTACCTTCTCCTGGCACGACCAAGAACACCCTGCCAGCCAGTGGGCTGCCATGTCTGTGTCCTTATTCTGCACAAGAAAACCACGTGTCATTACCATTTGGCTGTTTATTTGTTAACTTATTTAGGATAATTTTATTTGTTATCATTTTCTGTGTCAGTCCTGGTAAATCACATCTTGGCTTCAGTTGATGATTCACTCTTAAGCCTGCCCTGGATTTCTCCCCATACCCATGGACTCAACCTGCTGCAGACAGCAAGTTTATAAAGAAACTCTGTTTTATCCTCTTTAAATTTTCCATGGAAGTCCATGGATTGCTTCGATGTGACTGTAGGAAGCAGAGGACTCACTTTCGCTGGGAAACTAATTGCTCTGGCAGGGTATTAACAGCACGTTAGGTCTGTGGGGATGGACTTTGTGATGCTTGTCTGCTCTAATATCAAGGACACTCCTGTATTTTATAATTATCCTTCATTTATCATCCATTAGGAAGTGGTGCCATGCTGGACAACTGCAGACAGCATCTGCTTTTAAGTAGAGAATTTGCTAAAAGTCCTTCCATGCAGATTAATGAGTCGGGCAATTGTTATGTAAATCATTAATTAAATTGCCTTCGGCGTAGATTGTGCCACTTCGGAGCTGTCCGGGGTATTTTGCTGTTGACTCATGACTTAATTTTGGAGGAATGATGCCAGAAAATGAAAATGTCTCCTGGAATGTGGAGTGCCACTAAAAGCACCACTTGGTGTCTTTAAAAAGAGCTTTAACGCAGCCTAATTTGCAGGATTTGTGGGTGTGTTGTTGTCCTGCCAGAACAAGGGTGGGAAGTTCTGCTGAGCTCTCAGTTTAAGTGCAGGGGCTGGAGCTTAGGAGGGACAAGGTTTTGTGCTGTGAATAATCAGTGCTGGGGCCTGTGATGTCCCTGCTCTTGGTGATGCCCTTGTTGTGTTCCTTGGGATGGTTCTGGAACAGGGTCATTTCCAGTTACCTCCTAAAGGAAGGTGAAAATGCCCTTTTCCAAGGACTGTTTCCTAAAACAGGCTGGTATTTTCTCCTGGAATTTCAATCTCTGCCTTCATTGATGCTGTGCATGGTTTTAAATGGTTTTACTGTTCAACAGCTCCAAATTCACTTTGCCCATGGAGCATTAACTTGTCCCTGAGGACAATTGATAAAAAAATTTCGATTTTCTTGTCCAATTGCATTTTTCTGGCTTCTAGTGCAGTTGTGTGGGAATCTCCTATGTCGCAATAAATATTTTAAATACATAAACAATATAATAAATAATAATATCAACATTTAAATATATAAATAATATAAATAAATCTATATCTTAAATAAGGGTTTTCCACTCTAATTATAACTATGGCTGTAATGATGGAGTGGGATGAAGAAGTTTGTTGATATGGTTGTGAGGCTTTAAATGCTGTAAAACACAAAGCTGATATTATAAAATAACTTCATTCTGTATATTCTGTATTTATGATTAATTCTTTGTACTATCAGTGAGTACAAGTGGCTTTTCAATGATTTACATTAACCCAGTTTAATGCAGACTTTCCTAATTATTTTTGCAAAAGTTTTGAACATTTGCTTGTATGATAAATATGATGTTCAGGAAATGATCAAAATAACCTATGTGCTATTGATCAAATGAAATGATCAAATTAAACTATGTTTAATTCATTCCAACTGCAGATACAATTTTAATTTTTATTATTTTAATAAATTTTTAATAGAATTTTATAGAATTTGTATTTATATTTACTTACACTTGGATTAAGTTTTTGAAAGTCTCTAATTACTTGTAGAAAGTCTTGATTTAAGTGTTAGTAAAATACTCTGAGGTTTAAAGAAATATTGTGTGATACACAATAATCTAATTTTGATTCATAGATGGGTAGTTTTTATAGGCAGCATGGGTAGAATATTAAATATAGGCTAGGAAGGCAGAGAGAAGAATAAATAATCCATGGGAGGCTTACAGTGAGCCAAAGCAGGAGAAATTTGGCATTAATGATTTGTATGTTCATTTAAAGAGCATTTCTGTTCCCTAAATATTGGTGCAGGACAACTTTGGTTGGGTCTGGAATGTCACTGGATTTTTCTGAACATCAGTGATTGATAGCAAGGAAAAACCAAACTGTTCAGGCACACAAGCCTCCAAGAAATATAACATCCTGGATTTCAAATTATCCCAATTTTGAAATTACTTCTTGGTAGTTCAAATAAAGTTACTGAAAAATATATTTAAAGCTTTGCCTTTCCCACACAGGATTTAATGCACTGATCATTTGCATGAAGTTACCTGAATTCTATCTAAAAACTGAATTTCCTCTTTAGTTTTAGGACTGAATGTGGAATAAGCTGCCTGTAAATGCAGAACAGTTTTCATCTTGTTGTTATTTCCCATCCTTTTTGTGTATGAGGTGTCCCACACTGACCAGCTCTCACCGTGCTGTTGGAATGGGGTGACTCACCTCTTTCCTTAGAGCTTAAACCTGGGAAACAAGGATGTATTAGCCAAAATATTAGCCAAAAATGCTGTATTTCCAGTGCCAGGTTGGAAATGTTGCTGATACAAGACCTGGAGATCACTCAGTGATATTTATGAAGCGCTGACTTGGCCGTCTGGACCTGATCTGGTGTGAATTTGTGGCAGTGCTTCCTCTGTGTGTTTGACCCCACAGGATTGTTTCTCCGTGGAAGGGGAGGATCTGAAGCACGACTTTGAGCGGCTGCAGCTGGCCATGGAGATGGTGGGGTTCCTGCCCAAGACACGCAGACAGTGAGTTTATTTGCCATGTTAATAGCTTGGAGATTATCCTGCTTAATGTCACCTCCACTGGCAGGACATTGTCCAGAGGCGCCGGGGCTGCCCCATCCCTGCCCACGCCAGGTTGGACTGGGCTGGGAGCAATCAGTGGGAGGTGTCCCTGCCCCTGGCAGGATGGACCCATGGCACTGGCTGGGGGTTTTTGGGGTCCCTTTGGGATCCCTGAGGCTGCTTCTGCAGCCCTCAGTGACAGAGCACGTTCCCCAGCCTTGCCCAGATGGAATTTTGGCTCATGATGAGCTCTCAGACCAGTGGGGTGAAGAGACCAGCACATGCAGAAAGGCACAAATCCATGGTTTATTCTATGAAGGCATCTGATCTAGCATATACCCACGGCTATTGTTTTACAGGGGTTTTTATCTCTTTTGAGGGTTTTACAATTTGCAGCAATTACCAAGGGAATTCTACTTTCTAACCAGTCCCTGAGGGATTTTACATTCAAAGCTGGCCTATGGATACTAAAAGAGAATAAACCAATAATATTGAAGATAGATAAGAGGGTCTACCAATGGGGGGAAGCTAAATTCCTTTTGTATTCGTCATTTCACAAGCCATTTCTTATCTCTAAGCTATGGTTTTCCAAGGGGCTTGTTCTGAGGATGCAGGGAGACTTTCTTCTGTATTTTCTGCTCCCTCCACAGACCCAGATGAGTTTAAGGTCCCTTCCAACCCAAACCATTCTGTGATTCCATGATCATTGCTGTACTTAATGATTCTCTTCATGCACATGGAGCGTTGGCAGAAGTTGACATCTTGAAGTATTTCTCAAGTGTTCATGAATAATCATGCCTCACTCTGCATGTCATGAATCCAGAGCTTGGTTTAATCAGAAGCCCTCATTATCCCTCATCAAACTTAACCCTTTGCATGCAATTCTAGATCTGTAAACTCATTTCCAACTGGTCTTTTTCACTAATTCACTGGACATGCTCGTTTGAAAACTGGACTTTAGCTGGATTGCAGCACCACTGACACCATGGAATTAGAGGGTTCATAAGGGTTATTTCCAACTAAACCCACAGAATAATCCCCCCTGTGTTGATTTTTAGCTTGAAAGGCTTGAGTAGGTTGGGAAGAACTTGACATAAAAATTGCCTCAAAGATACTTTCACACAGCTGAGAAATTTTGGAAGCTCGTCCTTTATCCCTTGGAACGAATCAATTATGAAATTAAAACTGCTTTTTCTCCATCTTCCCCACGCACGTGGATAAACTCAAGGATCCAGACTTGTGTGAATATGTTCTGTGTCAGAGGCTGCTTTATCAGGTTTCAGGACAAGGTTTGTCTAAAGCCTGTTGAGGGGTTTAATTGCCTGAGCAAAGCAATCAGAAAGTGTCAGGACTGAGCAGGGTCGGGTGATGCAGTAAATTCTCACTTCTGATTTACTGTGCAATGATTTTTCTTGGCACACAAGTTGCTCCTGGTAAATTTTGCATGTCAGAAATAAAGTGGATTTTTCACTACACAGGCAGATTTATTTTGCTTGGCATTATACAACTGCAGCACAAATAAGGAAAGCACCTTTAGCTGAGATATAGGAAGGATGTTTTAAATATTACTATACTTTTAAAAGTAATTTCTTTATAGCAACATGGAGTTTCACCTTTGTGGAAACAGAGAAAAGCAATTTTTATAAAATTGCATCCTGAAATTCACAACAAGGAGTCAGTATCCTTGTTTTGGAGATAAGGGAGGACTTGGAGAGGTGAAGGTGTATTGTCCAGAAAAGCTGGTGGCATAGCTAGGACTCACATTTGAGTTTAATAATTTTTAGCTCCCAGGGAAGTGTAGAAATAGGGACAAACATGGTTTATAGCTGAAGTCAGCCATGGCTCAGGAGCTGGGCTTGATGAACCTTGTGGATCCCTTCCAACTCAGGATATTCTTTGAGTGTCTGAGACTATTTTTTTTGGAGGGGAGATAACTTAAAAATGACCAAATGCCCTCCAAAATAGAAAAATTGGTTAGATAAATTTACTTGAAGTGTAACATCTTTTCTTTGCCTCAGTTGCTTAGATATTATAAAAACATTTATACTGTTTTGTACAGTCTTTTGTTCTTGGCTGGGACTAGATCCAAAAAGTGACAAAAACACGTGTCCCAGGGGACTAAGAGGGATCACCTGCCCACTCTATCCCTTAATTTAGGCAATTGTATGATTAATATTTAATCTAGATATCAAGCTTACTGGAAGATTTCTATTTTTCTTACAACATGAGGTGTAATTTTGTAAGTGTGGTTTTGATGTGTTAAAGAATTTTCAAGGAACATGCACAGATGCAAGTTTGATACTTGACTAAATGAAAATCTTTTTGACATGAGGCAAAGTGAATGCTTTGGATTGAAAATTAGAAGAATGAGCCAAAGAGAGACATGGCTCTTGGGGGTGAAATTTGCTTCTTTGTTCAATGTATGAAAAACCGAGTGAAGAAGGATTCTCTCTGTTTAGGATTTTCTCTCTGCTGTCGGCCATCCTGCACCTGGGGAACATCCGCTACAAGAAGAAAACCTACAGAGATGACTCCATCGACATCTGTAACCCTGAAATACTTCCTGTTGTGTCCGAGCTGCTGGAGGTAAGGCTCTGCTTTCCCTCCTGAAACTTTCACCCTGAACAGTTTATTTCCAGTTTGACCAAAGAGTGAGTTCTTGTGTGTTTCCATTCTTATGGGCTGTTAGTGTTTGCCAGGGAAAAGATACAGTAACTTTCTTTAAGAGGTTTTTAGTGTAGGGTTTTTGGCCCTGCTCTTCAGCTTCAGATTTCATTGACTGAAAATCCTGTTTCTGTGATTAAATGTGAAAGGTTGCAGGGTCTAGATGCAAAGCAAACCTGCTGTCCAACACAGCAGTGTCTTTGATTGCCAGCCATCAGCTGGTGCTCTCAAATCTGTTCCAAAGTCTGTCTGAGGAACTTGAGCAGTTGTACAACCATAGCCCTAAGTTTTGGTTTCATGCAGGCTGTAGGAGGTGCTGAGCTCCCTCACGGTGTTTTTTGTCTGTTATTACCTGCCAGATTCCACAAGGGTTGGGTTTGAGATGCTGGAGGCCCCTCTCATCCCTCTAGTCCTTATTTATGGGCCTGCTATGGAGTTCTCTGGTGCCTCTGTTGATTGTCTGCTGTTTAGGACCTGATACCTTGGCCTCTGTGAGCCACTGCTGTGCTGATGTCCCTTGGGAAGGCTTTGTAGGTCTCTGCCCAGCTGGCCCAGGCCATGTCCAGCCCTCTAAATCAGTGCAAAAGCATTGAATAAGTTCTTAGGAGATCTGCTCTGTCAGCCCAAGCAAGTTATGAAGTTATGAAATTATGAAAAGTCTTGAATGAGCCAACTTGTCCTGCTGGCCTTCAGCCTTCAAGAGCTAAACTCAAAAACCTCCTGGCATGGATTGAGGTGGCCAGAAGCTCCCATTGCTATCTCACTTCACTTGAAATGCTCTAAACCTCTTACAACTGAAATGTTTTTCTTGCAGTTGATTATCTTTTATTTATCAACAATTACCTTTACCCTTTTGTACTCCCTAAGTGGTCTGGAAGGTGAATTTGTGCTGATTTTATGGTCAAATCAGAAGGCAATTTGTCCCTTTGTGTACACGTGGTGCTCTTCCCATTCATTCCATTGAATAACTGTTGTGTTTTCTCCCTACCTAGCTTGGGAATTGGCTCTCAGGGATTTTCATAGCACTTCATTAATGCTTTGAATTTAGGGAGGGGAAAGCTTCTGTAAAATATGGTCTGAGCAGCTGGATGCTCTTTGCATCTTAGCCTTGGGAGATCGCAAAAATAAACAGAAGGAAAATATGAGTGGGGAGGAGAATGTTGTTGATTTTACCCTGTTAAATGTGGCCAAGTCAGTTAAGTAATTGTTGGTTTTTTTAAAGTTTTGAGTAAGAGAGCGACTTAGAGATCTGAAAAAGTTCCAGGCTTTGGGTCTTTGCCTTTGCAAACAAACCCTTTTGCAACATTTGCACGTGGGGAGGTCATGGGGTGGTTTTTACACATGATTATGTGAAATGAGGCATTGGCTGAGCCATGTCAATCCATCAGTGCCTTAATGCCGTGGGCTGGAATGGCACCCCCAAGTAGTGTCAACAAGATGTAAAAATAAATAAGTATATTTATTTTTTACCATTTGAAAAAAAAAACCAGAACAACCAAACCACTAGGATCTGATGTAGCTGAGCAAATGGATAGATTTCTATTAATCTTGGTAATTACTTTTGCAAGTTAAATGACCATCTAGAACATAAAATGCTTGTTAATTGGATTGGGACAATGTTTGCTGCATTGAGGTGGGATCTGATGAAATGCATCGCTGGGTTTGGTTAAGTTTGTCCCTTAAGTTGCATTTAGATGATAATTGATCCATTGGAAGTATTTGCTGCATCCAAGTGTAAACCTTTCAACAGACCCACTGAAATCAGCTGAAATAAAGGAAATAATCTCATTTTCACACTTGATTTCCCTTTACAAAATGCCACGTTTCTCTTTGCAGACCTCAACAGATGCTGCTGCTTATTCAAATTTGACCCAAAGGAAGAACCAAAGGGTTCAAACAGATGAAACATCATTACAAAGAGCAGCCACCACTCTTTATTCATTAGTTGGCTACTTACAACTCTCCCCATTAAGTACAATGAGTTCTGTTCAGCCAGAGACCTAAAATACTGGTTAAACCATTTAACACTTTGTACTTAGATTCATTTGGGTAATTATTTTTATTACATTCTTTTTTTTCCTGGTCACTGAACAGTTTTGCTTTTCCCATTGTTGCTAAAATTATGAATTGGTTTGAAGAAGTTGTTAATCCCCTCTCCAGATCTTGGCATTAGATGTTAATAACTGAAAAATCATCTCAGAATAAAAGTAATATGAGTTGACAAAGAGTTGAACTTCCTTTCCTGTGGTCACCGGATGTTTGGTGGGGCAAACAGCAAAGGCATGGAAGAATCTGTAATCTGATACTTCCTTATCTTGGGGGAACTTTTGGATCTTTACACTCAAATGACTCATTGGATTTGTTTAGTCAAGGATTTGACATGGAAAAGGGGAGGAAAAAATCCAACTGGAGCTGTGTTGGTCATCTCTGAGAGCAGCCAAGAGGGGATGCAGAGGTGCTCCAGCATGGCTCCCATGGGGATGTAGCCTCCAAGGTCAGGAGGGGAACCACCAGCCTGCCTGAAATTAAAAATTTAATTAGGGTCTTTAATTAGGGTCTTCTCCCACTTCAAAGGGGAATCTGGGCCAAATTCTCGTGAGCTGCTTGGTTTGGAACCTCTGATGATAACTGGGGAGATTTCCCTGATGCAGCAGTTAATGCAACACCACTGCACAGCTATCCTCCCTCTGTGTAATGAGATTTGTGTCCCTATAAGTTGAAGCTAATACAGAGATTTTTTTGAAGGAATCTGGAAGGAGATGATGATGTGCAATGGATTTGCTTTTCCTTAGCTATCAACAACCCCATCCAATATGTTTTTGCTTTATTAAACCATCCAGGGCAGCATTTATGGAAACTGCAGTATAGGATTTTGGCCAGACTCTGCAGATCATTGTTTCATTTACAATAAAACCCCGATTCCATTTTTTTTTTTTTCAGGAATAGACATAGCGTGTGGATTATGTGATGCTTTTGGCAGGTTTTTCAGGGCCTTTGTTTAAACTCTGCTGAAATGCTGTGCTGGGGAGTGATGTCAAGGCTGCCTGATTAATCAAGCAGACGTGGAGTCCTGTGCAAGCTCTGCAAATATCCCAGGGCCTGGGCAGAAATCATAGAGAGTTGTGCTAAACTGGGTAAAACCTTTGTATTTCTGGGGAAAAAACTTGAAAAAGCTCATTTGTGGGCTTATTAGCAAAAATAATATATTAGAGATTATCTGGTTGACCTTAAAGGACTTTTTGTTTTCCGTTGGAACAGTAGGAACATTTTAATTTAATTTTACTAAAATGGTAAATTATTTCCATGGATGAAGCATTGAGGAAGGAGATAAATTCTGTCTTTGCTCAGTGGAGCAGTTTTGTATTCAGCTTTTAGGTTTAGGTTACCTAACCTCAATGAAAATACAGGTAAACACAAGTTATCAAGTGTCCCAAATTAGTTTTGCCAGATCTCCCAGTGTACATTTGTGTTTGGAGCTAAAGCTGGCCTCTGCAGGAGATTTATGTGCTCAAGTTCCTCTTCCACTAAAATAATGGCCTTCAGCTTCCCAGAGGGGCTCCTGTGATAAATGTCTTGGAAATTAATTGGGGAGGGGGTGAGGATTATGAAGCAGACAGTGCTTGCTTCCAGTTTTTTCTTTTGGATCTCTTTTCCAGATGATGTTTTGTAGAATCACAGAATGAGTGGGGTTGGAAGTGACCTCCAAAGTTCATCTGGTCCAACATCCCTGGAATGAGTAGGGATGTCATCATCAGGTGAAAAACTTTGAGCCAGAATTAGAGTAAAAAAACTTCAGAGAATCACAGAATATGCTGAGTAGGAAGGGATCCACAAATACCATTGAGTGCAACTCCAGGTCCTTCACAGACACAGGTCCTGCACAACAATCCCATGAACACTCCAACAATCCCACCCTGTGCCTGAGAGCATCGTCCAAACACTCCCTGAGCTGTGGCAGCCTTGGGGCTGTGACCATTCCCTGGGGAGCCTGTTCAGTGCCCCACCACCCTCTGGGGAAGAACCTTGTCACAATATCCAACCTAAACCTCCCTAACACACCTCCAGCCATTCCCTCACATCCTTTCTAACTCTCTGGTTATTTGAAAGAAAGTCTGAGGAAAAGATTCAGCTCTTTTACAAGAACAGCTGATAGAAATCTGAATTTATTTTCTGTTACTCCACACAAGGCATCTTTAGAGCGAGCACTCGGCACTGAGATCCCTTTCTCAAATATGGAAGGAGAGACAAAACCTGATGTTTTCTTGCTCTCCAGCTGGAAATGGTTCCTTTTTCTTCAGCTGCTCCAACATAACAGCCCAGAATTACTGGTGGAGCAATGCCTGCCTTGGCTCCAGCCCAGTCCTTGCTGGCTCCCTGTTCCTGCCATGCCCCACTGCTGCTCCCAGCTGTGGCACTGCCATTCATCCCTCTCTGACTCATGGAGCTTGAGGCCTCCAGCCCTCTCTGGGCCCACTTGTGGCAACGAGGTCTTAAATCTGCATTTTGTCCCTGTAATTAAGATCTAAACTCCTGCAGGCCGTGTTTAAGAGAGAGAGCAGGCCATGCCCTTTAGCACCAGGAAGCAAAATTCCCTGAAATGTGATGCAAGAGTGAAACTCCTAGGGTACAAAGTAAAACAATAAGTGGTGTTCTCCTCTTTGCTACTCTGCACCAATGGGTGTCCCTATTTTAGTGTTTTACACTTACTGGAGGAGGAAGTATAGGATGTGGGGAAGCTGCAAGTATCTCCATGTCCTCAACACGTGCTGAGTTTGTCGTTAGAAAGCTCCACTGGCTCCTCCCTGGCACCAGGAGTCAGCCACTTTCACACTGTGACCTTGAATGCAGATTAGGACGATTTGGTTGCACCCCTGGTGTTCATCAGAGGCAGTGAAGGAATCGGGATCGAGCTCCACTGGGTGGTACCTGCAGGCAGGGGCCTGGGGAGATGCAGGGATTCCCATCCTTGCCAAGGATGTTTTTGTGCAATAAGATGATTCAATGGGATCTCCCTGGGTCAGGAGATGAAGGATGCACATCCACAGGTTCCCTCCATGCAGAGAGCAGGAGGAGAAAGAACTGGAGTGACCATGAGATGGGGATGGTGGGGGATGGCATGGGTAGTTGTTTAAATTGCTTAAAATCCCTGTGTTTGCTGACAAATCTGGGACCTGGAAGTGTTTATGTTGTTGAGGAATATTTCTTTGGACTGTTTTGATTAGGAACCATCTGACACCCCTCTGCCTTGTTGCCTTGGGTAATTAAAAAAAGCTGGAGTGCTGGCTGTGGGTTTGCAGCATCCCTGAAGTGGGATAATGGATGGTGTGAAACTCACTTTGTTCCAAGTTGTACAGCTGAGGGAGAGCAGCCAATGGTCCTGCAGTCGAGAGCTGCTGGAAAAGCGGCCACAGAGCTGAAAATTACAAAATCACATATTTTGGTGAATGTAGAGGAATAGAAACTAAATGTGAAATCATGCTGTGGATCTCTGGATGAATCGGGAGATTATTTTTTTCCTTGCTTGATTTTGAAAGGTAAAATTGAATTGTAGGCACTGAGGGCTCCTGAGTAGTGCTGAGCATTAAAGAAATGAACCTTCAAATGTCATTTCCAGTGATAGACACCTTGCTGGCAGGTGACAGTCATATGCAGGTGACTTAATGTATTGTGATTTCAACAGTGACAAATTCTTGTTGCAGGAACAATCAGTTACATAAAAACTCCTGGGTTTTATCAGGGAGACTCCCATGATAATAGTTTTGGCAGAAGGAGATTGTTGTACAGAAGGGCATCATTATTGCTATGGTTTGTAAGATTCCTGATCTTCCCCTGTCTTGTTTGCATTTCCTCTTCATACTAATTCCTGGATTAAAGCCTGAAGTCAAAGTACATACATAGAATTGTTTTGGTTGGAAAAGACCTCTAAGATGGCTGAGTCCAACTGTTAAACCTCTGCATTTCACATTTTCCATGTCAAATCATAAATGGCTTCCCTGTGATGAAAGTATGGCCTTGGATGGCTTCAGGAATGTGGATTTTGAGCAGAGATGTCCAGAGGAGGTCTGGTGCCTGCATGGATTCCTTCAGGTAGGATAAGCAGTTTGCAGAGACTTCAGTGCAGCTTCTCTGTATCATCCACATCCATTAATTCTGGGCTCCAAGATTTTCACCCAGACTCGTGATGTCTGTTTTGACTTGGAAATTTAGTGAAGATCAGTCAATGACTCAAAGCCTTTAGGTCTAACTGAGTATTCTGGGAGAGAGGACACCTTCTGAATTCCTCAAAGAGAGTCTTGAAACTAATTGGGAAAGTGGCTTTCCCCAACCGTTGCAGGTACCACTTAATTTGTCAGCACCGTTTCCCTCTTTGCCGCGGTGTCTGTGTCTACACAACAAAGGAATCTGAACAATATGAGTTTTGTTCTGCAAACCTGTAAGGGCTGATTAGAAACTGTCACCTCACCAGGAACTGGGGCTTAGGGAGTAAACATCCACTGCTAATAGCAGAGTAAATATCAGGTGCTTTTCCAAGGATTTTTTCCTCCTTCTGACTCCTCCTCACCCTTAAAAGCAGGAACAAAACCCCTCCTCCACTTGGATATCTCAAACTGACGACACTGCCTGGCTTATTCTGGAGTAATTTGTATGATTTCATCCTTACAACCCTAGAAAGTTGACTTATTTTGCCAAGAGAAAGTGTGGGAGGGAGGAGGTGCACTGGAAATAAGGAAACCAGTGGGAAATTGCTACAACTGGGATGCCTGAATGCAGAAAATCAGGTTCCTTTGAATATCCTGGTGTTAGGTTTCTATGCTGGATTTATGTGCTGAGTTGGCTCCTCCCAATGGCATGTTTTTACCCATTGAACTCTGCAAGGGCTGGCAAAAGGGTTTAATATTTCTTAATTAAATTTTGAAATTTAAATGTGTTTCCGCTGAATTTTAATTTTGTTACCTTTACGTGTTAGCATTTTTTAACTGGATTTTAAATAAAAAAAGATCACTAGAATAATCAACATCTGTACTTTTGTTTTAGGTGAAAGAAGAGATGCTTTTTGAGGCCCTGGTGACCAGAAAGACAGTGACAGTGGGAGAGAAGCTGATCTTACCATACAAATTGGCAGAGGTCAGTACATGATGTTTGTTATTAAAAGGCAACTCTTGGAATGGTTTTCAATACTTTGAGATGCACACTCAGGGTTTCTTTCAGTTTTTATTTATATATGTCAGAATAATGTAGGAGAAGCTAATGGGTGTCCTAATCTAGGAAATTATTGACTTTTCTTCTATTCCATTCTTGGAAGGCAGGTTTGTACTTTATTCTGATGGTTGGTAAGTGCTTTAATGACTTGTGGCTGTGTGAGAGTTGTCCAAAGCACAGTTGTGCATTTCTGGGTGTGTATGTGGGTGCATCTCCAGGTGTCATTCCTTAAGTTGGAGCACTTATTCCACAGCACAGTGCTGACTCAAGACTCCAGGAAATTTTTATTTCCTTCTTGAGTGCCTGTGTTAGAGACGGTTCTTGTATGGCAGGAGCTGCAGATCCCCATAGGAGATTCCCAATAGCTTTTCCTCAGACCCCTCACCTGGGCCCTTGTGTGATGCTTTGGAGCAGCCACAACTCCATCAGCTTCTCTCAGACTCCTGTGTAGTCACATGGGATCTAAATGGGATTTTCAGGAATTCTGAATTCTATCCTGTGGCTGGTAAAGAGAAACAAATTTTTCCTCTTATATTCTTCGAAGCACCTAAGTTCTGTTCTGCTGAACTACTTGTTTTGGCTATTTCTGCCTCTAATCTTGTATCTCCCAGGTTAGGAGCACTGAGCATCACACCATGCTTGGTCCCTCCATTCCCTCTTGTTGTAGGGTTGTGTGAGAATTTACACAATTTACACAATTTAGCACCTTGAGTAGCATCTCAAGAGCAGCCTGTTGTGTCACAAATAAGTAAACAGTGTTGTCACTGGGGTCAGCTGGAGATATTTTGGCTTCTTTTTCCACGGGGCAGAAAAAAAAGTATCTTTTCTTCTACTCTGTGGATGTGTTTAATCTTTAGAAGTGTTGCCTTTGTGTGAAGCTGAAATGTGCCCTAACAAAGGGCAGGAAAGGGCTCTCACTGTGTCTTTGTGATGCACGTTTAATCAATGTGGTGTTTCTAATTTTTTCTTTCATCTTAGGCACAGACATTAAAAAAAATGGCTAGAAAAGTTTAGAACTGATCTGTAACTACCCTTCTGCTGGAGGGTCTTTAGGGTCATGGTATCATAGAGTGGGCTGAGTTGGAAGGGGCCCTAAAGATGATCTTGTTCCAAGCTCCTGCCGTGG